CATCTGCACATTCTCTCCCTCATAGGCACTTATGCACAGTGTGCAATATCTTTGTCTTCTAAGTCTTGTTGAATAATAGCATTCCATCACTTGGACTCTTTGGTGATACAGGCAGATATATGGTCTTTGGGCATAACTGTGATTGAAATGGCCAAAGGGGAACCTCCACTGTCAGACCTTCACCCTATGAGAGTTCTTTTTATAATACCTCGAGAAAATCCACCTCAGGTAATGTCAATAGTTTTTGTTATAATGATGAAATTTAAGTGAAATGATTTATTCTCATGTTTCTTATTCTTTTGATGGATGATCATGCTTCACAGTTTAAATGTAATCAAAATTTCTATCCTGCAGTTGGATAAGCATTTTTCCCGGCCTATGAAAGAATTTGTATCCTTGTGTTTAAAGAAAGCGCCTGCTGAGGTAAGCAATCATGCTTTTTGCATATCCCTCTATTTGTTTAGGCTATCTAGGTTTTCCCTAAACTCTGTCAGCTTCCAATTAAATTGCAATGTTACTGTTAATGTATTCGCTTCTAAAACTATTCTGATGGGTGTAAGTTGAGTGATCCTGGGTTTATTGGCTTAATTTTTTCTGAATGCTGTAAACTGCCTTATGCTTTTCTTTAATCTGTTTAATTTCAGAGGCCTAGCGCCAAGGAACTTCTCAACCATCGTTTTATCAGGAATGCTAGGAAGAGTCAGAGGCTTCTGGAGAGAATTAGGTGCCATCTCGTACTCAGTGTTTCATAATCAACATTTGATAGGAATCTGTATCTGACAGAGTTGAGGTGTCAAAACGCCTTGGGTCACACAAAATTATGTTTATGGTGTTGGTCATGTTTCTGAAATGTCATGACAAGGGGATGCTAAGTTCAGGTATCATTCTTACAATGGTTATTGTAGTTAAGATGCTTGCGTTTTGTGTTCTTAATAGAGTGTGCCCGAGGTACCAACTAAAGGAAGATGCAGAAACCCCCAGAAATGGCCCCAAAGCTATAGGAGAGTCAACCGACACTGTGAAGATTTCAAGAGATATAAGAGGCGAAGAAACTGTTCGAGCTAGGTGGGTTGATTGTGTTAATTAGCAGTACTTTCTTGATTTTGATGGGATTCTTGCTGACTTGTTCTGATAAGCAGTAACCAGGGGAAAACATTTAAAAATGCTGGGTGGGACTTCAGTATTGGTGGACCACAGAGTACAGGTACTGTCCGAAGTGCTGTAAGACCTCCTCAGGTTAGAGAAAGGAAAGTAGAAGTTGCATATAATCAAGCTATACCAAGAACTCCAGAGAGTGGTATTGTGCTTAATGAAATCCCAGAAGTTTCCTTTGGAAAAGACCCTAGAGAGTCATACTATGATGAACATCAGGATAATTACCATGATGTAAGATTCTCTCTCTCTCTCTCTCTCACACACACGCACGCACACTGCGTGCACACAAAACTTGAAGCAATGGCAAACTTTTTCACTGCATTGTGGCTTTTGGCATCAAAACTTTTTCCCTTTTGTTCTATGCCCTTAATAAAATGCTCTGTTGCATGGGATGATCTATGGGCTTCTAGGACTGTCGTTTTTCTGAAATTAACAGTGGAATTAAACATATGATTAAGTTGACTTGCAATGTAGTAATATGATTAAACTTTTTGAGAATTCTTTTCCTGTATGCCACACTTAGATGTATTCACCAATCATTTATGTTAAGCTAGAGCCAGTTTCATATAATCTGTTGTTTGTATGTCTCTTAAACTTAACTATATGTTATTTTTATGCTCGGATCTTGTCACATTGCTTTTGTTGCTTTATTCCCAGGATGAAATGTCTGTCAGTGGATCGGGAACTGTTGTTGTAAGATCTCCTAGAGGATCTCAATCATCTGCATTGTTTCATAACCCAAGCTCTCTCGTAAGCTTCCTTCACTTCCTTCTCAGTTTCTTCACAAAAATATTCAGTAGATAAAGTCCCTGTTGCCTTTTGTGTCCCAGCCATTGATTTTATTAGATTTCAATGTGCTGTGTAGTCTAGCAGCGAATATGCTTCTTTTGAAGATGCATCTACCAGTGGAACTGTTGTTTTCCGTGGTGAACATGATGACTCTGATTCTCCTCGAACTCCAAAATCCAGGCTAGGAATTCAAGAAAGAACTTCAAGTGCATCAGTTGAAGATAGTGCAGCAAATCTTGCAGAGGTTGTTTTTGTTTTTTTATCTTTCTTGATCAGTTTTATTATGCTGTAAACCATTTTAGATTTTTCGTGTTTAGTTGTGAATGACAATCAAACGGGCTTTAGAGTGTATGTTTCATTGATTAATAAACGATATTGATATGTGTTATGATATTTGTATAACTTCCACTTGTTGTTCTGACTATTTTTGCTACCATTTATTTCTAACATTCACTTGTTTGATAGTTTATTCTTTTACTTATTGTTCTGAATTCTATCTACAATCAAATACATAAATCCTTGTCAAGCTGGAGTTTTTCTAAAACCTTTTGTTGTATAACAAATTTATTATTGGAGACTGAAATTCCTCCTGTAGAAATCTGAGCTTACCATGGAACTTGAATTTATTATTAGCTTCTAGATACAGAGTGTATGATCATGGTTTTTGTTGAAAGGCTCATCTTTTAATATGTCGGTTCAGGCTAAGGCTGCAATTCAAGCTGGGTTGAGGAAAGGAAATGCTAGGGACAGGTCTGCACTGAGCAAGATCAGTAGCCCTGCATATGAAAACAGAAGAAGAGATCAAATGAGTAGCAGTTCTGATTCTTCCAGGTAAGCCTGACAAAGAGCTAACTTTCCATATCTTCAATGCAGAATTTTATATAGCTTTGGTTGTTATTCGGTTGTGTTAATATCTCTGATTATTATTATTCTATTCCAGAAGTTCTCGTGAATATTTTGATGCACAAAGATTATTTCCAAGATTACGACAACCAAGTGATGATGAAGAAAATGCAAAGATAGCATCATCATCTGTACCACTATCCATGTTGCTTATCCCTTCCCTGAAAGAGGTGCGCACCAAATGATGTTTAGTTTAGTTTAGTTTTTTTCCCTTTCAATTAGTGTGATAGAGGTAACTTTGAAATATTCTTCCAATTTAAGCAATCTTTAGCCCAGAGGTTGCATTCTTTTTTACACTTGAGGCTATCAAGATTTGAACTTTGATTACTCGAACTAAGAGGTCATCACTCTACCAACAGGTCATGTGGCTGTTGGCTGCCCAAAGGCTGTATTAAGATGCTTGTAATGATATAGGTTTCCCTATATCGAGTATGCAGTACATAGAACTTAATCTTTGTGCAGACTCTCATTCACCCAGATCTTTATCAAATGAGTGATTCATATAATGATGGGAGTGAAACAAGACTCCATACCAACTTTAGTGAGTGGGTAATAAATAAAAAAATATATATTTGGTTATGATAGAAGATGGAAAAATCCAGGAATAAGAGATAGGATATTGAAAATGGTTTTGACTAAAAGAACATTGATCTACGATTGTTTTGAGGTAGAGGAGCAACTTAATATGAGTAAAATCAGGAGGAAGTCTGAAAGAGGTGATGATTAAATTAGTAAATAAGGGTCCTTGCCCATGATCTATATGGACTGGACCTGTGCCAAAGAATGCATGTTTCTAAGTCATTAATTCATGTTAAGAGCTCGTTTGTGTGAATTTATGTCTTTACTCAAAGCCATCATCTGGACATGGTTGTTTGATGAAGTTGTCTACTGTCAGCTGCCTGTATTTATTAAGTCTGCTTTAGATTTGTTTACATCTTAATAGTTTGTCAATGCATACAATGTAGGTCATTGCTGATGATTCAGAAGGGTCAGTTGTGCATGCAGTTACAAATTCTCTCGTAAATATGGAGCGTACAAAGCCTGGATCTTGTGAAGCTCTTGTTCGCAGGTTGCTGGAGCGATTGGCAAGGTTTGAAAATTTTTGTTCAAAGAAAATAAATTTTATATCTCACAGTATCATCCCCTTTCACTCAAGCAGAGGTAAAATTTTGCAGCTCGAAGGAATCTTCATTGAAAGATATGCAGGAGCTAGCAGCTCGCATGTTCAACAAGGGCAAGACGACTCCTGGAGACACACAAAATACAAACATGGAAACTGACAGTAGAAAAAAACAGCAGCATAAAGAACTTCATTCAAATTCCAACTTGAGCCCTCTTGCCAGATTTCTACTTTCAAGGTTTGTTGAACTATTATTCCCTTGACAAATGATTTTCATTTAGAAGATGAAGTCTTGTTTACAATGTGCCATTCTGAAATCTTCTCATGTAACGCAGATGGCAAAGCCAAACATAGCGGGATCTCAACCCAACCTGAAGGAAAATACGAGATTGACTATGTCTCTAGTGTTAACTTTTCTGCATTTCATATGATTTGATGTACATAACATTGTAAGAAACTTGTGCATTTACTATCCATTATGATTAAATTTTCTATTTTTATACATTTTTGTTTTGCGGTGGCAGCATCGATGTATAGTTAGGTTTTGCAATTATCACATTACAAGATGTAATCTCACTAACATTAATCATTCAGTAAAAATAATCTCTTTGTATAAACTTGCAAGTGAGTTTGCTTACATTTTATAGTTTTCTTCTTGTCCTTAATTTTCATGAATGAATATATTGGATGGAGGTGGCAAATAGATGGGTCAAGTTCGGATCAGATTGTTTTTGAACTCAATTTTTTTGGATTACGGTTTATTTAGGATTCTGATTGTTTCACCTTCAAACTTTTGGCTATTTTTTTGTTAATCTGGATTAGTTTGGGTTCGATCACATACTCGGGTGGATATTCAGGTTTGGATCAACTTTACCGGCTCCAAGATTGGAGGCCTTGTGACTGTGAGCACCTTTTCAATTAACTTGACTTCGGTTATTGATGGTGCCCTCTTGAATTATTAGGGGCAGCCTTTCATGCTTTAATGGATGAAGAGAGCAAATCTTACATATAATCTTAGAGATCTAACTGAAGTTTCAATTGAACCAATTCTGTGGCCAGAAGTTTTTACAATGGATCCTTCCAAGTTTCATATGAAGGCAACCTACAGCTGCCACTGGCACAAACACTTCCACTTTGGCCATGTAGATTCTTGAAACCTTTTAAGTAAAAGATATGCTTTGATCTATGCCAAGTTCTTTAAGGCAAGCAAGCCATCAATAAAGTCTCCAGTGCATTCAAACCCAGTGGCTAATGGGATTTCAGGCAACATGGAAGGCTGTCTAGACTCTACACCTCTGCATATTACACTAAATGGTGGATTCAAAATGAACAGCTGTAACTGAAAGAGTATTGGAGAACTCAGCCATGAAACAACATCAACAAACCATTCCACGAAATTTTCTAATTTGAATCTCTAGATGGCAACCATCCTTGATGGTTTAGTTACAAATTTGTGACTGATAGGCTTGCTTACAACCTAAGATTACAGGAAAAACAAAATCTATGAACTGAATCATATTCACCTCTTGAAATTTGATTCGAGTTCTCATGTAGCAAAATTTTGGACTTTGAGTGCCGAGCACTGTTTAATTGCAAACTCTGAATGAATTAGCCAACTTCTGGGGAGGAAGAGGTGCTATACAAAGTTAAACCAGCAAAACTTCCTTATAGAGGAGTCATCAGCAAATGATTGATAGAAACCAAAACAATAGCGATTATCACATATTCATTGTGTAATAATGCATTTTCTTCTTCCATTTTACATGTGCTGAGTAATACCACTCGTTCAAGCATCATCCAGCAGGTACGCAGTTATGCTTTATAGAGGTTGTTTGCCTACCTCATTGAAGAAAAGTTGTTGATCTATAGCCGCAAAATAAAATCTCAAATTGTGGGTTGGCCATCTTTTTTTGTTCAGTTTGATGCAATTTCCTATTTCCATCTGCCTCGAGAAGGTTGCTTTACTGGAGTCAGCTTTCAAAATGCAGTATGCAAAATCATAACTGCAGGGCACATACAATTATAAGCTCGTACAAATTAGACAAACATCAATAAAAAGTAGAAAAGAATATGCATACTGATATAACTGACACCAAGGGCACAGCATAGAGCCATTTGAACATTCAACCATATCAAAATAATTGCAGTAGCTGCAAAAGATGAGGTGAGGTTAATGTTCTAAAACCAGAAGAAAATAGCCTTCCTACATGCTCTACTTGCTTCATGGATAGCATTATTACGAATAGGTCCTGACAAATGCTGATCTGAACCTGATCCGAACCCGAACTTAAACTCAATTGGTTTATGCAATCAGTTTTAAAAGATGATATCCAATAGGTCCGAGGTTTGAACCCTAGCTCCTAAAACCCTTTCCGCCATCCTCAGGCTATGGCCTCTTAGTGCCAAAAAAAAAAAAATGTTCATCCAAATCATATTTTCTTTTCACTAAGATTCCAAGGTCAATCTACTTTTTTGCTTAACCCCCCAAATGGTAATCATTGGCAAAAACGTAATAATAAAAGGAGGCATTGAGTCATGGAGTAAGCTCTATAAATAAGTTCTACAAGCACAAACGAGAAATCTTCTTAAAATCACAAACAATATTTCCTCTGCTGAAGACTAAAGTGCTGAAATGTGAGAACTCACCACATTGTGCTATGCGAATCAAGACCAGTTGAGTGACAGGAAATCTATCCAAACCCCACTTATCACTGAAAAACCTGAAAAGATACCAAAGTGCCAAACTTGATAGCAACCCAACAAGTGCAACTAGTTGCTGATACCCATTAACAAAAAAAGAAAACAAGTTATCTTACCTATCTAAGGTTCTTTCTTTTCCCACAACTTTCTCAGGAAACAAACAGAAAAACAATTTACCTCGTCATAGAAAAGAACGAAAATAATTCTCAAAACCAATAACTAAAATTCACAAATAAGTGTAAAGAACAAAGAAGGTTTTAGCTTACAGAGAACAAGTAAAGAAAAGGATAACAAGTGAGGCATAATTCCGGGCATAACGCTTAACATTCTCATGAACCCTGAGCCTCGCCTGAGAAACGGAAGCTGGAAACGAATAGGACCCCAAATCCCCGAAAAACCCTTTAGTCCACTACGGAGTTTCGCCGGAGAAATCAGTGGTGGTGAGCTTGGAGAATGGGTTAAGCGTGAAGAGAGAGAGCAGAGTCCATAAATGAGAAAATAAAGAGACCAAAATCCAAAAAGGAAGCCTGTGATTGGGATGGTTATTGTTGAGTCAGTTGTCACGGAGGTGCTAGTGGTGGCGGCAGCCGCGGTCGTCTGGTGGTCGTCGATAATGTCGAGATAGCCGGAGTCGCGCAGCCAGGATTCGAAGGTGGGGTCAGGAACGCTGAGCAATAATGGGTTAGAGGAGAAGACCATTTCTTTTGTTCTTATTTTTTTCCTCTTTTTTTTCAATTAGATATTTTGTTTTTATAGGACCCATTTACCGCCATAAGTTCCAACTTATTAAACGTCCAAATAATCCCAAAGATCTTATCTTGGGAGGAAAAAAAAATAATGTCATCGAGTAATTTCTTCAAACACCTTACCTTAACTTCGAGCTATGGATTCTCCATTCTCTCACGCCGTTTCATTCACCCACCTCTCACTCTCCTCTTCACAAACATCTACCCCAAAAGGCAACCATTGATTCCCACAAAGATTTCTCTTCGTTTTTCTAATTGTTACACTTCAGTAACTGAGCCTCAATCCTCTACCTTACTATCTCCTTATCTCTCTGTTCGTATTCGATGTCGAAATGATATTGCTGTAAGCTTGAATTCATTGATTCATTTTTTGGGTTTTCCTTATAAAGTGAATGGTATATTAATTTCTTTTTCTTTTTTTTTTTTTTTTGGGGGGGGGGGGTTGGCTTGTTTAGGATATGTTTTCTGAAGCTCTTATGTGCTTTGGTGCAAGTTCAACTACTGTGGGTGAACTTGACAATGGTGACACTTCTGATGAGGTTACCCTTTTTTCTTTTTTTTCTTAAAGATTGGATTTTGATTGGAAAGTATGGATTTTTTTTCTTGGATTTGATTGTTTTTAAGGTTCTTGTGCAAGAAGAATGAGTGACCAAACTTGTCAATTTGCTTCTTAATGGGTTTAAGAAGAGTTTTGAAGAATGTTTTGAAGGATTTTGTATTTCTTATGCAGATATGCATTGAGTCCATATTTCCTGAATTGGAAGATGTGGATGTATGCATCTCACAGGCTGCTGATTCTATAGGCTTAAAAGAGATACCAAGTTATGAAGTTAAAGCAGGTGAGCAGTATGACTGGATAAAGCAAACTCAGGTTAGTTTTCTTTTCTCATTCTCTGGTCTAGTACAATTTAGCTTCAAGGCACCTGCAACATAAAATAATTGAGAAAAAAAAAGTTTTATGATTAATTAACTTTTAATTTCGTTATCGGCTCATTATTTATGTAAGGATAATGTCCTGATCCTTGAACAATTGAAGTTTGTTGGATTTGATACTTAACTTTTGTTTTTTATTTTTGAACAGTTATCAGCACTCTGTTCTTTTTCTTATTCTTTCTCCATCAGTACTCCATCTGTTCTTTCTTTCTCAGTCCAAAAAAAGCTACATTTTTTACCTACAAAACTTTTGTTTTTTATTTTACTTTTGTCAAGTTTTTCCGTTTCAAAATACAAGGATTTAATTCAGATTATGATGCTTGTAGTTGGAATTATAGAGATATTAGTATATACGTTTTCATAATCATAACCCATAAATTTTTAATATTTTCAAAATGTAGATATATGAGAAACCTTCATTAAATTTCCAAGTTCAAAACTTCAAGCATTGGGCTCACGTTTAAAACAATCATTCTTTGCCACAAAATCCGGGTACTGCTTTTTTTTTTAGTTTCTTCATTGGGTTGATTTGACAATTTTCTTTCAGTTTTAGTGCTAACCCATGAAGAATTTTTACTGGTTTAAGCAAATCTCACACAATGTTAGGTCAGAGAGGAGGCTTTCACTTGGAGAAAACAGAATGTTAATGGCGGATTTTTATTCTCAAACAATATTGTATGCATACATGTCATGCTTACATGTCATTTTGTGTCCAAATGGTGGATTTTTGTTGGCTAAAATAGCCAAGTCAGCAACTCGGCTGACGAAGTTAACTCTTGGACCAAATTGATATACAATTTCAGAGTTTAGCTACCTATTTAGGAACTTTTTTAGTTTAGGTACAAAATCCAACAAACTAAAATAGTTCAGAGGCCATATAGGACATTATCCCTTTATGTAATGATTTATGTAAAAGAAGAAGAAGGAAATAGGGAGTATGAAGTAATGATTCTGATAATGCTCTAAATCACTTTAAAGTTCTTTTTTCCTTTAAAAAGACCAAGTTAGCGTATTCAATCATTGCTTTAACTTTTGAAACCATTCATTTTTTGGATCTTATTGTATAAGTGGTTTATGGATGATTAAAGGTGTTCCCAAATTGGTTTACATGTCTAGTTCTACTGATAAAATCCAATTTCATTGATAATATAATTTGAATCCTTGTTTCCCAAATTGGTTTACATGTCTAGTTCTACTGATAAAATCCAATTTCATTGATAATATAATTGAATCCTTGTTTCTGTTTGATACAGGAATCATTTGATCCAATTGAAGTTACTAAAAGGACTTTGGATTGTCCTGAGTGGAAGACTCCCCAGTATGGTTATATCCAATTACCTTCTCTTAAGGTTTTGTTGCAGTCTTTATGTATCATACATACACAACTCCCTTCTTTGCCATTCATTTCAGAATCCAGTGGCCTATTTATTCTGTAGTGGGCCTTTAAACTCCTTTTAAGTGAGAACAATATTGCAAGTTAGCTAAGAATCTATTATAAAGCAGAGCTTGCGTATATATACACACACATGTAAGTCTTTAAGTTTCCTCCAGGACAATGCCTCCATGTTCATACAAAGTAAAATCTTATTTTCTATGCACATAGAAGAATGTTACTTTTTTAAGTATTATTGGTGAATTGAACAAGTATAAATGTGTTTGTTTTCATTCCTTTAGGATGTTCAAGCAACAAATATTATTTTGAATCCTGGATTGGCTTTTGGAACTGGGGAGCACCCAACCACTAGATTGTGTTTATTGCTGCTACAGAGATTGATAAAAGGAGGAGAACACTTCTTGGATTATGGCACAGGTTCTGGTATTTTGGCAATTGCAGCACTTAAGGTATTTAATTCTTGATCATATGATTCGAACGTTAACTATAATAAACCTTGTCAATCTGAGTTATGAGTAAACATTTCTAGGTATTGATATTGGTGTTACCTTCCATTTACATCACCATTTATTCTATGATATTATTGGTTGTAATAGGTCTTGGATAAATATTTGATAAATTTTGAGTTTCAAATATGTGTTCCAGGTGTATGTCTCCTACTTTTCTCATCTTGCTATGAGATTGTACACTCAAATGTGACTTAACACCTTTCTTCTCACATTTTTCATGTGATTTAGGATTCTTATCAATACTGTAGTAATATGTTGTGTCAGCTGATTCTCACATACTAATTTCTCAATAATGATGTGAACTGCAGTTTGGTGCTTCTTTGTCTGTTGGAGTTGATATAGATCCTATAGCAATAACATCTGCACGTCAAAATGCTGCTCTGAACAACATAGGACCGGAAAAATTGCAATTACACCTGGTTTCTGGCAATACTTCCTCCCCCTTAATTGATGAACATAAATATGTTGAAAAGCAGACTTCATGTGAGACGGTGGTTGAATCTGAACAAGAAAAATACGATGTGGTCATTGCAAATATACTTTTAAATCCTTTGCTGGAATTGGCAGATGATATTATCTCTCATGCTAAGCCTGGGGCAGCAATTGGCCTTTCCGGTATTCTATCTGAGCAGGTATTTTCCCAGCTTAAGTTATTAACTTTATTGGCATGATAGGAAACTAGATGTTTGATCAGAATGGTTGGCCATATCAATTATGGCTTTGGTCATAGTGGGAAGTTCATGTTTACCTAGAACTTTATCTTAAGAAATTTCTTATGTTCAGAGAGCACATCATAATAAACCCAAAGAAGTAACCCCAAAAGTCCCCCCACCTTTGAAGGGGATGGACTACAATTTTGTTATAGTGATCGCTAATCAGCAAGAAAAAATGGCCTTTACGGGTTGATTTTGTGTATATACACATTTCCAGTAGAGGTTAACTTTTCAAGCAGTGTTGTAAGCTGAAAATGAAAAAAAAAAAAAAAAAAAAGGGCCAACAATTGTGGTATGTTGATAGAATATTGAACTCTTAGTTTTAGTGTTCAGGATTCAATCTCTAGCAGTGTCAAATATTAAAAAAATGAAAAAAAAAAAAAAAAAAAAACCAAATGGATGTTTTGGTGTGGTGCTCAGGCTCTATTATTTCTACTGGTTTACAATAGCTGCAAACTACTTAACACAAAAATGCTACCCAAGGGTGAACAATAGATCAATTCAGGATTAGACCAAACAAATGAACTTGAGACAACATGAACACATTTACTTCTGATGTGTCTTTGCAAAGTCTTACCGCCAAAATGTTACTATTTCATTTTATTAATACATAGGTGCTTGAACCTTATTTTCAGTTTTGTTTTATGCAGCTTCCCTACATTATGGATCGATATTCCCCACTCTTGGACAACATATCTGTGTCAGAGATGGATGATTGGGCTTGTTTAAGTGGTAGAAAGAAAAGAATTCTGACTGGCGGCTGAAGGACATTTAGTGGTTAGACAAGCAGAATTAAGAATGGTCAGTTTAAGATATTGGCATCGAACGGGCATTTGCTGGTTTATTACAATCTTTTGGTCTTACAGAATGTCTTGCAGACAATTACTTTCGATTTGGTGTACCAGATCCGTTGTTAGTATATCATTGTTAAAACATGTAACTGGTTTTTTAAGGAAAATTCTTGAATTGAAATATGGTCAAATTTTGTTGTGTCAAGTTTGATTCTGCTTGCTTTGGCTTAGTTCTAAATTACGATTGAAATGAATTCAAAGCTTAATTGATTTGCGCAATCATCATTAAGACTTAAGGTGATATCCAACAAAATTAGAGTTTGGTTCCTAGCATTTGCTATCCCTTCTCTTATTCTTAGATTGCAATTTCTTTTATATAATAAAAAAAAATGTAATGCAGCCTCTTTCATATAAAAGAATATACGATTGAAACTTATTTCCTCAAATCATATTCATAGTTGAGTTTCATTAAAGAGAAAAGGGTGTGTCATCCACTGTATACTACACTGCCAAGAAAAGAGGATGAAAAAAATCTATCCGCAGAGTGGCCATATGAAGCAGCAGTTATCAGTACATCCACTATTTAAGCAAGTCGGCTAAAATATTACTATAACACTGAAATGTACTATAGAACCCAATGTTACCAAAATATACTGCACCATCTAGTTCCATACTTCTAAAAGCTATAGCTGCTGTACTAGAGGTCAATCAGAAATCAGAAGGTCGACTATGATTTACTCTTTATCAGCAGAAATATCTCCAACTGATGTTGCAGGCAAAATTATAGTTGTCTGCAACTCTCAAGTCATCACAAAAATTACCTCCTTGAATCAACTCTTTAGATTTAACATCAGCGCTTGAGTTGCCTCCTAGCCAAAGCAGCGGCTCTCTTAGGGATATAGACCTGGTAACTCACCTGGAAAAAGAAATTAACAATATTATAATAACACGTAAAGAAATCAGCGAATCAATGCCACCGGGTTAAAACCTAACCTGTACCATTTCCCCACCCCGCATCACAGACATTGTCTTTTGCTGAAACTGTGAACCATCGTTGGTCTCATCTTCCAGTTTATCTGAGCTAATGCCTCCAGCGGTAGATATGGAAGAAGAAAATGGCTTATTGAAAGCAGAATCATGGGTGTCATTAACTTTACCACCACTATTGCCACACTCTGGGGGGTTCACAGTATGGGCGGTTTCTAAACTACCCTCATTCACGCTACTCTCAGTTACCAACTTAGCTTGAGCAGATTCTTGTTTTTGGGTGGTATAAGTATTAGGTGATTCCTGTCTTATTTGTGATTTAACGGACTTCGGCCTATTCGAAACAGAAGCTGCATTGTACTCATGGGGTTTCACAGTTTGTGCAGTTTCTAAACCACCCTCGTTCACACTACTCTTGGTTTTAGAAGGTTCTTGTGCAGCAGCTTCTTGTTTCTGAGTAGTGCGAGTGTTAGGTGCTTCAAGTCTGGTTCGTGACCTTATTTGCCATTTAACAGACTTCGGCCTATTAGAAACAGAAGCTGCATTGTCTTCGGGGGGTTTCACAGTTTGGGCAGTTTTTAAACCACCCTCATTCACACTAGTCTTGGTTACCAACTTGGCTTGAGAAGGTTCCTGTGCAGCAGCTTCTTTTTTCTGAGTAATGCAAGTATCAGTTGCTTCAAGTCTGGCTTGTGACATAACCAACTTTGACTTATTAGAAGCAGTATTAATAGCTGTATTAAACTCTACTCTAGGAACACCAGCAGGAACCACCAGAGCGGGTGGAGAAGCAACCTCACTCCCCACAGTCCCAGAATATTTTCCAACATCATTCAGATATGATGTGTTCCTATCATTCTTAGGAAGATTTGTAGAGTCTATTCTAACTGGATGCTGTCTAATTGGTTGACTCACTTGGTTTGCCATCACCACTCTAGAATCATCTCCCTTAGGAACAGTAATCTGAAACAGGTCAGTGTCTGCAGAGGATGGTGTTTTAACATCATCATCATTCTTATCATTCTGAGTAATAGGTGGATTTATGTTTGTCTGGAGCCCACCACGAAACTTTCGTAAGTTTTCCAGTGCACGCTGTCTTAAAATTGATTCCATATCATCACCGTTTAAAGGACTAGAAACCTTTCTTTTTTCCCTCAAGGCATCATACCTAGGTTTACCATCCTTGCCACTTTCTTCAACATTGTTTGTTCTGATGTTAGAAACTTCTCCTTTCTCATCATCTAAAGACCTTTTAGTCTTGGATACAACATGGGAATGCTGAGGTAACTCCCTCCGACTACAGCCATCATTACTATCATTGCTTCTGCAGGATGGGTAATCATCATAATCATATACTTCTTCTTTAGGCTCATCAGTATTCAACTCTCTGCTGCTTTCCTTTTCATGTTTAACAGCAGTAATTACTGATTTCAGCCGTCTTGAATTGCTCTCCTCCATCACTCTCAACTCAATCGTATTATCATTGCCTTCATTATATCTACTGTATGAACAACTCCTTGATCTGTCCTTACTCCTTTTGCTTCCAGTTTTATCCTTCTCCAGCCTTCTTCTATCTTTCTCCTTCCTTTCTGATCTGCCCCTTCTTGTCTCATATCCGATCTCATCACTGCCACTCCAACAAGTTGAGCAACTCAATGACCCACTACTCCTAGAACTCACACTCAAGTCTCTCATAGACTTCTTCCTCTTGCCTGTTCTCTTCCTTTTATCATCCCCCCTTGATCTGCTACGTTTCTTTACATAAGGAGAATCCTCACTACTTTCCCTACTGGAGGACCGTGTTCTAGCCCTCTTCTTACCACCTTTCACAACCTTCCTATTACGAGACCTGGACCGGCGACTTCCATAATCATCCTCAGAACTAGAGGATGAAACAGACACCATACTTCGCAAATCACTATCATCCGAACAAGAAATAGAATCATCATGTCGACATCGAAGCTTCTTGGACTTGCTTCTCCTGCTTTTAACCTTATTTCTCTTCCTCATTTGTGACTAAAATGAAAAATGGGCATACATACATAGGGAGAGAATCAAATTAAGATCCCATTTTCAGCCAAACTTTTTATTCAAACATTAAATGATATTTTTGGTTACTAACAAAAGGGTCATCCAATAACCAATCAAATCACCCAATTAAGTACACACTAAACTAAACTTCAATTTTTAAAATTTTATAAGAAGAAAATACCAAAAATATCAGTCCAAATTTCTTAACTTTCAGTTTCCTAGTGCCCAATTAAGCCAAAGTTTTAAATTTTCAATCTTCTAAGAACAAAATACCAAAAAATGAGCTAAAAGATCTCACATTTCTTCAATGTTCCTAAGTTTTCTAGGCATCCAAGCAAAGGGTAAATCTTTAAACCACTAAACTACAAATTGCCGGTAATAACTGACCAAAAATTTAACCCACAAAAAGAAACCGTCAAAGAAAAAGAAAAATCATTCACATTTAAAGAGGGAGAGAGAAAAGAAAGTACCTGAGATGAATTTTTGGAACGTTTTTTCTTCAAAGAAGATGATTTTCCCATCTTTGATTTTCCCATCTGCAAGAAAAAAAAAACCAAAAAAGTAGAAAAGAAATCAAAACAGAAAAGGTTAATTCATGAAAAAATAAATGGAAAAGAAAAGAAAATTGGAAGACAGAAGAAGAAGAAGAAAAAGAAAGCTTTTTTTTTTTTTTTAGTCTTTTTGGAAGAGTTTGCGGCAACCTTAACAACCGGATGAAAACTAGTGAGGTATTGACACGATCAAAACGACTTGTCGTTTATGGTCAAACCGTTTTATGTAAAGTAAATCATAAATAAATAACTTCTCTTTTTTTTCTTTTTATTTTATGTTTTAATTAAATATAAAAATTATTAAATTTTACATCAATAATTGATGTTTTTATGTTTGGTAAAAGGTTTTTTTAATGATTAAGTTTATATATATTGAAACTCTTACCTTCTCTTTAATTTCAAAGTTTATTTACTTTTAAAAAAATATTATCCTTTTAAATTCCCTCAAATCCACAATTTTAATAAATACCATGAGCAATGATTCGGATATTAATATTAGACATATTACAAATTTCGTTTTCCTTTTAAAAGTGCACTCTTTTAAGTCGGATTTTACTCTTAAAACTAATTTTAAGCTCGTGTTATTGTACGGGCAAACAAATCAATTATATTTTTTTATATATAATATTATTTAAAAAGTAAAAAATTATTCATTAAAAAATAAAATTTTAATTTTAAAAAAATATATTTATAATTTTGATAAAAAATTATGTTTTCATAGTATTTATAATGTTAAGAATCACGGTTCGTAATATGAGTGATGTATGTGTATGTATATGAAAAGAGATCAATTTATATTAATATAAAATATTTTAACTTTATATTTTTTTAAACATTAATGTTAATAAATCCAAGAGATGAGATTTTTTTTTATCTTATTTTTTAGATTTATTGAAATTAATAATAATAAAAAATGTAAAACTTTTTGGATATAATTTGATCCCTCTTTTATATATATATATATATATATATATATAATGGTATACTTACCAATTTGTATTTATAAATTAGTAATTTAATATTTATACTTTTTAAGTCAAAAAATACAACAGATAAATTTAAAAAAAAAATTAAAGTGGAACAATTTTTATGTGTTAAAACAAAATTCATATTTATTTGATTAGTGAACTTTCAATCAAAATTAGTATTTAATTTGCCTAATTAAGAAAATTATTGAAATGCTTTAAGTCAACATAAGATTATAAGAAAAAAAAATCATTGCAAATGAAAATCAATTATTTATTTTAAGGTTTCACTATTTTTTTCAAAATAGAGAAAGTTGTCCAAAATATTTTTCAAATATAATTTTTTATTGATTTTTTTTTTTGAGAAATTATAACATGAAAATTTAACAAATTTAATAGAATTTAGCTGGATAAGAAAAATGAATTGTCTTGACACTTATTTGGTAAGATATTTTTAGTATGTATTATTGTATGAATTGAATTGAAATATAAAAATTTGAATATAAATATCGTAAAAAAAAAAGTGCATGATAAAATGTTGAATATAAAATTATACTGAATCAATATTTTTGAATTATTTGGTGAAAATAAGTATATTACTTACCTTAAAATTTTAATAACTTATCTTATTATATATCATAAAATTAAAAATAAAGAGACACTTATGTCTTTTAACAATTTTCATGAATAATAAAATTTATTTAATTGTTTGTTATGTATCATAATGGATATTAAATAGCAAAATTGTCTAAATTATTATTTTTAAAATTTGTAAATCATCAAACAATGATATATATATTAGAAAATACACATTAAACGCATAAGATATTTCTTATTTAATTCTTTTATTCAATAGCAATTAAATTAACTTTGACCAAATAGTTGATCATGATAAAATTGTTGACAAAAGACATTCAATCATGGCATAAGTGAAAGCAATTAACATTTTAATTTAAAAACTTATGCAGTTGTACAAAAAAAAAAATTATGTTATTGATTCATGCAAAGCAAATTAAATAAAAAATATATATATAATAGAATAAAACCGCATATATTAAACATAAATAAATATGATGTTTGAAAAAATTACAAACGAAAGATAAAATCGTAATGCGAAAGCAATATATATATATATATATATCTATGTTTTATTTCTTATTTCATTGAATGTGATATTTTTATCTTATTAATTTATAAAAATTTTAGATACAATATTTTGAAATCAAAGAGAGATTCATGCCAATATGAAATTCAAGTCCATAGAAAATGTAAATCACTTAAAATCATTAAGAATAAATAAATTATAAGTGGAGTTTAATTGAATATGCATAAAAAATAAACAAAAAAAAAGTAATACCAAATATGATAAAGCAAAAACATTTAATGGGTTGAAAAAGGTAAACAAAAGAGAAATAATACCTAAAATAAAAATAATACATTTTTATTATTAATCATGATTGAAAAGCTAAATCAAACTAAAAATAACTACAAATAAAAATCATTGGTTGCTATATAATAGATTCAATAAAATTTTTTGAGTAAAGATTTACCTAATCATAACTAAACAAATGTATTTAAAGGGTTTTGGTGAACTTTTGAACAATTAAATGCATTTGAAGAGTTTTGGTGAACATTTGAACAATTTTAATATAAGATGATTATCTATTTATAATAGGAAAACTCTTGTAAAATTTAGAGTTATTTAAGCAAATCAATCATAATGGGTTATTTAATTATCAATATGTTTTTAGTTTTTATTTGAAAAGTCTACATTTTATGTTTTAAAAAGTTTTGATTAGGAGTAAATTATGCCTTCAAATTAAAATATTTTATATGATAATTAATCACTTGTAGTATGATTCTTAAAAAAAAAAAAAAACTTATATATTATATAGAGAAAAATATGTTTAAAAATAATTAGATTTTTATTTTTATTTAAATTTTTGATATTAAATAATTTATATATTTATTTAGATTAATAGATTACCTTATTAAATACTAAAATTACATTCATTAATTAAAATGTCAATGCAAAAAATGGTGGTCTATTGAGAATGAAAACCTATTCATATCTCAAAAAGTAGAATTAAATATTGAAAAGTGAATACCTTTTACACCAATGTAATTCAAAGTTGAATATTTATAATTGAAAAAAATCTTAACAAAATTATTTTATATATTAATAATGGCGATTAAACTTTTATTACTTTCTTTATTAATTTAATTGAGAATGATTTAAGACAAATAAAAAATAAATTTATTTAATTTAATTTTTTTATATTATTAAAATCCATTATTAAAGAATACATGTCAATTTTTTAGATTTTTCACTTGTTGAAAATGTAGATTATCTATATTAAATTTTTTCTTTTTTGTTAAAAACTTTGGTTTTTATATATTTATATAAGATGTCTCTTATAAGGATTAATAATCCTCATCTAAAAATGGTTAACAAAGAGGAAAAGTGGAGGGAGGAATCAGTTATTCTGTTATTATTTAGGCAAAAGTCTCAAGAATAAAGAAACGAAGATAAGCTTGAATCATGTTCTCATGTTAAAGTTGGATGTGGAATCTTGAGTGATATGCCTGAAAGAGCATAAAAATGTTTGTATCAGAAGCATCAAGGAACTGAGAGTAGCTAAAGAAACAAACAAAAGACATCAAACTTATATAACATAATTGAAGTACTTTTTCAAAGGAATAAAATTACAATACCAAGTTTCCCTAGCAATTATTACATTATTGTTGGATATGTACAAGATTACATCTGCTCTTAGTAGATCTACTTCAGGCATCTTCGTCGTCACTCATACTGGGACGAGTATCGATGTATACTTCCGAAGAGAAGTCAATTTCATTGACAATCCTCCCCCTGTTCCATGCCAAGAGCAGATAAACCTACATGATGTTTTTTGTAAAGAACAAATAATGAAACCAAAGGTAAATGTAGTACCTCTCAAGAACAAACTTTCCTTCTTTGTACTTTTGAGTCTTCTCATGTGCTACCTCCTGCCCAGCAAAGATGGAATATCATGGGAAAGCAAAGGTAGCAAGATTCGATTATGAATAAATATGTGTATGTGCATGTGTGTGCATGTGCATGTGTCAGACGGAGATATTACGTATTTCCAGCCAACAATTTGTCCACAACAGCAGCAAAATATATCTGCCACAGTGTGCATTCCAGAAAGCATCAGCCTCTCTTCCAAAGCTCCAATTGTTATGTTCACCCTGAAGCTTGAAACTCTGAATGATAAGCAACTCAAAGCATTCATCTGATTATGAAATATTTCAGAGGCAGATGTTACTTATGAGATTTTGAAGATTCATGGCTTTTGTAAATATCATGGTGGTATGATACGAAAATTTCAGTATTGCAAAAATTATTTCAGCTAGAAGAGACAAAAAAAAAAGACTATGAGATCATGGTTGAATAAAAACTGCACAATCTTTTATAAAAGACAAAAGATTAGTAAAACACAATCAATTTTCTGTCAACAAAAAAATTGTCAGTCCATCAATCTTTGAAGAGACTGAGATCTTACGCATTATTGAAGAGGTAGGCTTTGCCATGGCGACAATGGAAAGACTGAACAAATGGTGAAAATGGCAAAGAAGTTGTTAGCAATATAGTATAAAGTTGAACTGCATTGATTGTATATACTACAATTTAAAGAGAAAAATGAAAAATTCAGAACCAAGGTGTGCGGCTGAGGGAAGCTAAGTGTATATACATAAACAGAACAGAGATATGCGCAAGAAAGCAACAGTGAACCAATTACTATCTAAAAAGATGCATAACAACATGAATTTAACAGATATGTAATAAAAAGTTGCAGTCTGCACTCTGCAGTACATCTACAAACATGTTCAGAGCGGCCACTTTATCTTTGATACCAAAGGTATTTACCTAATCTCATGGCTTCCAAAGTGCAGCATTCATATTTTGCTTAGTTTCAGGATTGAATATATCATCTTTTGTCTTGAATGGTAAGTGGAAACATTCTTAATAATTCTTCCATTCATGGGGTCAATAGAAAAGGTGGAAAACATCTCCAAATATGATAGGATGGCTATGGGGGCTTCCATCATAAAAGAATAAACTTCCATAACCTGGATACTGTCAAGATTTCTCTGCCACAGAAGTGGTGCTACTTGGAATAGCCCATTATGATATAGAAAAAGATGAAAGGGAGAAAGACATGGAATAACAAAGATTTTCAACATGGAAGGTTTCAAGATCTCTTTTCTGCAGACAACAATGCCAAGAAGCAATATATTCCAACAAAGCAATGCATCTTTAAAAGGTAAATCAAAGACTTCATTGCACAACAGACAACCCATCAAACAACAGCTAACTGGTAAAGGAAAGATATATGTAGTTTTGGTAATCTTGAGAACATGAGGCCCTTAGATAAGGCATTACATCAAACAAAATTCCCCATCTTAAGAGAACATGAGGCCTTTAGGTAAGGTGATTTTGGTTCATGTAGTTGATTCTCAACAAAATTTGATCATAAAACTACTAATATGAATCCTGTTTGACCACTGAAAGCAATAATAAATTCTACATGAACTTTCATTGTTTAATTCCTGCTTCCAAAATCCTAACTTTGAGGTTCTCCTATATCATCTTTCCTTAAATGCCAACTACATTTGCACAAAACACAAATTCATTTCACAAATTATCATCAACAACAATCATAAAGCCAATAGAACAATATTTTTATCATGTTTCTAGTGTTGCTAAACAACAGGATCCACACATCAAAAGTTCTCAACTTTAAACTTGCTTCCATCAATAAATGCTAAAAGAACCAACTTTTACTACCAAAAAAGAAATATTTTAATTTAAGTGCAAAACAAATGGCTGAAAAATGAAAAACCCAGAAAGACAAAAGTAGAGAGTCAGAGAGAAGAAAAAAAGTGGGTACCCTGGAAACAAGATCACCAGGGAGAGCGAAGTGAGTTCTACAAAACTTGCATCTATAAGACCTTCCATCAAGCTCAACCACAAAAACCCTTCCCATCTTCACTGCTATGGCAAAATCTCAGTTTCTATGATAGGTCACACAGGCACTAGAGGTGCACACAGTTTATGGTGGTGATAAGGATGGAAAGAGTTATGGGGTGAAGCCCATGAACCATTTTGAATTGGGCTACATTGTAAATCCACTGGATTTTTTCTTAATCCATCTACATTCTAAATGAAGATTGATCCACCATTCTAAATCCGGCTATTGCATTCATTCTTAATTAATAGCAAGGGCCAACATTGGCCTTGCTCTGCAGAGGGATTTTTGAAATATTTATAAATGTTTTATTGAGTTAATTTTAAATTAAATTATAATAAGTAATTATTTATTTAAATGATTTTTATTTTTTGTATATTGTAATATATGTATTAATATTAATATAATTATATTTTATTAATCATGAAAATTAAATATATAAAAATTAATTATATATATGAAAATTTAATTTTTACGCATTTCTTAAAATATTTATATTTTATTTTATAGCTTAACATATATTTTTATTTATGGTCTAAAAATATATTAATTTTTTATTATAAATTTTAATTAATAAATACAAAATTATTGTCTTAATCCTTATCTACTTAAAATAAAATATCTAGAAATTAGACTAACATTACAAATTTTCAAATAACAGGTGAAAAGCACAGGTTATTTATAAATTAAAAATATATATTTATATGTTCATCATTCTTGCTCTATCATATTATCAACCGAACTTTTCTTTGATGTAAATACTAATTATTTTTTCGGGTTGGTTTTTTGGGTCATGGTCCACGGTTGCCTTCTTATTTTCCTCTCCAAAACTACGCCGTTTTGAAGGCTCTTCCTCCTTGTTTAAAATCTAAAAAATTTTCTAATTTCCTCATTTTTTCTCTTGACTTGCTCTCACTAAGACCGAAATGCTCTCCCTTCTTTCTAACCCAACTTTAAACCAGTTTCCGGCAATCAGCAGCCGGCTGGACGCGGCTCGCCGTCAGTCGGCGTCTTAGGGGATCCAAAATATCCCCAAATACTCCTTTTTTCTCTTTCACAATCTCTAAATGGATTTGTACGAAACTCAATGGTTTGTCCTAGATCTGACATCAAAGTCGGCAGGCTCAACCCCAAAAATCACCGTCTTTGGCCACTCTAAATCGCTCCAAATCTCAGTATGATGTTTTCCTCCTTCTCCCCTTCCTTTGCACGATTTCAACTTTTCTAAATCCAATGCCGTTGTTGTCAGCCTCCATTGCCTGCACCGCTACAAGCCCCCCATCAGCCACCAAATGGTGTTTCTTTATTTATGCAAATAATGAGATAGTCCATCTTCAATAAGAATAATATTTCAAAAACAGTTTAAAATACTCTTTCTGTCTCATTATATTTGTCTTTCATTGATTTTTTGAATCGAACAAACTTAACTTTAACTATTATTTTTAATAAAATTATAAAATTATTTAATTTTTAATAAAATTATAAAACACAACTCATAAGACTTCCTTGTTGGATTTTACTCTCGAAGTAGATGATCCAAGCTGGATTATGCTATGCAGTGCTCCTACCATTCATTAAAGCTGAAAGCATTACAATTTAGTTATTGAGCAAGTTCATTAAAACAGAAAGAGATGAGAATGATTAATGAGACAGATTCTGGGAGTGATACAACTGGACATGTTGGTTCATTGAAGAAGTGTTTGGTAATATCCAAAAAATTTACACACTCAATTCAACGTAGCATGATCCTCAAATTAGAGAGAGATGAGGAAGATGTGTTTGAAGAGAGGAATTTAAAATACAAAACAGAAATTTGTGTAACAAATAAAATAACAGTTTGGGTTATCTGATGCTACCTCATAGGTTTTGCATCCAATACTTTCTTTTGCACCAGTAGGTATTGAATTTGAATTTCTATACTACAAATACTTTTGTTAAAAAAGATATTTAGGTAATGTTTGATATGGGATGATTATTCTAAAAATTATGATGATTTAAACATAATGATTAAATATTTTATTTGGTAAACATTCAATGATTTTAAGTGATGTTGATCTTGAATCATTGAAAGTGATCAGATCATTATCTTAGAAGTAATATAATTTTCATATAAAAAGATAAAAAAACTTTTAACATAAAAAAAATTATTGTAAAATTAATAATAGTCAATTTTACTTATTTAATATATGAGTTAAAAATTTATTGTATTTTAAATTTGTAATTATTTTATATTATAAATTTTTATATTTTTAAATTAATATTCATTGTAACAAATTTAAAAATAAATTATATTTTTTTAATATTTTATTATATAATATAATTTTTTGTTGTTCTTTTATTAAGAATTTAATCGAATGATTTTATGTTCTAATTTAAATATTTTTATTTAATTATATTATAAAAATAATTTACCTATCACTAAATATATTTATTAATTTAATTATATTTTATTATAAAATAAATAAATATTACTAATATTTCACAAATTATTATTTTTAAGCAACTTTAAAATCTTAATTTGTAAAACTATTATAATATACATTATTATTTTTATGTTTTTAAACAAAATAATATGTAATTAAGCTATAATGTGATGAAAAGCCAAATCTTACCATGGATGATGATAGTATATCCAATTGAGATGATATGTAGGAAAAAAGCTAGGTATGGGGATGGAAAAAGATATTGAATATTTGAAATTTGTTATGATTTTAACAAAGAGACAAGTAAAAACAAACTATACTTTCAAAACCTCATAATTCCCATCTTCATTTAGTCCTCAAAGCTCATCCAAGTCGCACCTTTTGATGCTTTTAGCAACTTGGTTGTTTTCTTCTTTTTACCTTCAATCCTTCTTTCAAACCCCAAAATATTTTTTCCCTAATTTCCCTTACCAAAAAAGAGAAGGTTCAGGGCAGAGCCAGTTATCATCTCCAAAACTTTGCACCAATTTGGGCCATGGGCGTGCTTGCTGTTCTCATGCAAATGCTGTCAGAGGACCCTATCAAAAACTGCCTTCCAAATTACCTAAAATGTCACTGTTTTGATTGCATTGCCAATCATTTCACCTATCATGTGCTCAATTCCAACCTTACTATAAACAAAGATGCTGGACAGTCTCTCATCATAACCAAAGATTTTCTTTATTGCTGTTTCCACCTGCCAAATTGCTTTAATTTGTACTATCTTCATAACTCTGAAACAATGTTAAAGGGTTTCAGGCAATCAAGCTGATCTTCTTACATTTTTTGTCATTTGTGTTTAGGATTTACATGTAGCTTGGGAATAAGCAATGTAATATTGGGTTTTTTTTTTTTTTTTTTGGTTTATGAATTTCATGAGCTAATGATGTTAAAAGTTGGAGAGAACTGCTAAATTGAAAGTTGTGTAAAGATGAACCAAACTTCTTCGTTCTTTAATGATGATTGTGACAAATGGTTCCAGTGTTGTGAAAATCTAACTCATCTTGCTGCTCTGTCCTGTTCGAAAGGGGTGATCAAGTTGGATAGACATTGAACCGAATCAATGTTAAAAAAAAAAAAAAACCCCTTCTTATCAGTTATGTTTGTACAAAAATCAATTTGTTTTACTCTATCGATTTCCACTCTTCTTACTTTCCTCAATTTTTTTTCACGAATTTGTGCATGGGGCTGGATTTTTTTTTTTTGAAAAATTTAAATGATGCTTCTAATTTTTTGAAGTTTATTAAATAAAAATTAAAATAAAAAATTAAAATCAGGAAATTGAGAGATTTTATTATATAAATTAATTATATAAAATTTAATAAAGTTCAATAAAATTTTTTAAATATACATTTTTAATAAAAATTTAGATAATTTTTACAGTTGAAATTAAATTTAAATTATAAGATATATTTTTATTTTTTTTACATATTATTAATTTATCAATTTAAAATTTTTATTATATTATTTTTTAAAAAAACTTCAAATAAATAATTTCATCTAAATTTAATAATTTTTTTTTATTTAGCTACGAGCCAACCCCACTAGTTGGGGTTCGTTTGGGAATAGGGCTATACCATATAACAACAAACAATAACAATGAGAAAAAATTTCTTTTTCTTTTGTCAATTTGATTAATTTTCGGTTAGTACAAATAAGTAAAAAAATTCCATTATTTTTAAAGGAAATCAGTTAAATAAATTTTCTGTTTTTCAAAATCGAATCGATCTCACCTAAAAAATAAACTATATTTTAATATAAAAGATAACCAAACAAAAGTGAAGTACATGCAAATATTTATTCTATACATTATTATGTAGTGCTTCTATAATTAAGAAGTCAATAAAGAAAATGATGGGTCCAAAGGAAAAAAACATTAGGACAGCATCATTTACAAAGCTCACAAAGTCATGCCCCGTCTAAATGGTCCCTTCAGCTTCCCTCCAATATCATTACATGTTGACATAAAAGGGTACAATGTCAACAGGAGGGTAATAAATCTGTCCCTTTCCTCAAGTAGAGGAAGACAAAGAGAGCTATGGGTCCTTTCACAAATACCAATGGCTAAACTCACAGCTGAGACTGATCAGCCGCCCCATGTGATTAAAGAAGCTGGATCAGAACTTGATAGAAATGGGAGAGTTGGGGACCCCGAAATTTCACACCTAACACACCTAATTCCACTGCCCATTTAATGTTTTATTGGATAGACATCCGTTACTTTTGGGAGTAACATTTAATGCAAGAGAAAAACATCAAAATTTTTTCTCGTGTAATAAGGTTATTTTTGGTTTTTGTCTGTTTAATGACATGAAACAATGAGTCACTTTCTCAGAAACTCAAAGGCCAATCTTTTTCCAGGGCATGATAATTAGATTTTGCCAGAAAAAAAATGGGAAATTGACTGTTGTGATCACAGCACATTTGAAACATACTTATCAGCTGTGGATAAGTCACTTTCATCTGAACAGCAAAAACTAAGATTAATTCATAGTAATAAAGCACATTATATTTCATCTAATCTGCAGTCCTTTTCCAATGCTACTCCTAATGACAACATACTTAGAAATGATAATGTAAAAGTTTAAACACATTAACGGAAATTCCTCAAGTTTTACAGTTAGTAAGTCCACATGCAATCAAGCTCAGTTGGAGCCATGGACATCTTGCCTCCAGCACCAGAACCATCGTTAACCTCCTCGGATAAAGCCCCCCAGTTCACAGATGAACCACCGTGAAGTGGTGGGGAAGCCAATGTTGGCTGGGAGAAAAAGAAAGGGAGCTGCAAATTCTCCTGAAGAGACCTCAAGCTTGGAAACACTGAAACACCCACGTTTCTTGAATACCTTGTGGGTGAATCAGAAGTGTTGTACATTTGGGGTGGAGGTAGTGCGAGGTCGAAACCAGGGTGGAAGGCAGGAGGCGCAGTTGTGGTGGTAGCAGTGGCAGCAGCAGAAGCAGCTGCAGCAGCAATGGTGGAGAAACAGGACACGTGCTCAGATTGGGTATGGCTGCCATAAGAGCAGCTGTCATGGTCAGTGAGCGAAGCGGCTGTAGTGGCAATAGCAGTTGTGGTGGGATCCAAGAGAGGTGGAAGGCAGACCGACGAAGGAGAGCTTGGTTCTTGGTAGAGAGCGATGGAGGTGCTCATGCGGGTCTTCTTGGCTCCTCCGCCAGTGCTGCTGGTTGCACCATTGCCGGTGCCACTCTTCTGAAAAACCCTGGATATGACCCATTCATCCTGGAATAATAGAAACCTTAGCATCCAAGTAATCGGTGGTTAATACAACAGTGAATCTAAAGATCAAAGTGTACTTCATCTGATAGAAGTTCCTAATTACCAGGAAAAAAGCGGTTAATTGTACAAATATGAGTGAAATTAAATGAGCAAAAAATAAGAAAAAATGGCAATCATCCATCAAAGAAACAATAAGAAAACATTTTACCAGGAGATTTACTGAGTTGCGAATACTGTGAGATCTTGCATTTTCAATAGTAATCTGAAAAGAGTTACAGGAAAAACTATTTGGAGTGCAAAGACATGGATAGAAAGCTAACATTTGCTTTTAACAGACAGATTAGTGAGATTCAGTTCATTGCTAAAAGTCCAAATACTAAAAAACACTTTCTAAGATATCAAATTACTGCTACATCTTTGCATTTTCAGTGTCAACCTGAAAAATATAGCTGGAAAGCTCATGGAGAACAGGCAAAAAGAACAGTAATATAACAATGCTTTTATCATAGATGAGAGTTTCAAATCATGTTCAAAGTTCAAACAAGAATCATGACAGTAAAAATCTTATATTTTCAGCAGTGAATTGATAATAGGAATTGTTTCACTTTAGAATAAGTGCATGAGACATGACGTATAAATGCTGTATGTAATAATGATGCAGAAATTGTGGGTATTAAAATCCCAATGAAGACAGAAGCTTTTCCATTGTCTGCAAGGCAGTGCAAATGCTATAAAGATTTTCCAACAAATTTTTTTCAGCTCTTTAAATGAATAAAAACAGCATACTGAAACATTAATACTTTGCATTTGAATGCAAAACCATAACTACCATGAACTTACTACAATCCACACACCATTGCTTGAGAAGATTTCAGCTCTTTAGGGAGGCAAAAGTTAAGCAAAACAGTACGGGTATTGTGACCATATCGACCACAGATTGAGCAAGAAACAAGAATTTAGTAAAAGCCTAACCTCATTTAATCAAAACCCTCATTAGAAAACATTGTTAAGAGTTCAAGTTCATGGAAAAACTTCAAACATTAGATGATCAACAAGTTTAGAACTCGTTGTTGGACAACAACCTAACAGCTTATCAGACAAAAGCACACAGGTGAGAGAGAGAGAGGGGGAGGGAGGGAGAGAGACCTTGGAGCTTCTGGAGAGATAATGGTAAGCAAATTTGCCTTCAAGGCGATATTCATGCATGACCCAATTGCTCTTTTCTCCTTTAGGAGCTCTTCCTCTATAAAAAACCAGAGTTTTCTTCATTCCAACAAGTGCACAAGTCTTTGAACTATAAATCTCCCTATCTTTTCCAGTAGCCTTCCAATAACCCGCTTCAGTAGCTCGGTTAGTTCTCAATCCAGTTGGGTACTTCCTGTCTCTCAAACTGAAAAAGTACCACTCTTTCTCTCCCATCTTTGCCTTCTCTGCCGTATTACATAGCCAATACACAAAACACAAAAAAGGTTACCCTCATTGTTACTATAATAATTTGTGTAACAAAGAAAATTGTAGTCGTGAAAAATGTTAATGATTACTTACCAGGCAGTTCCCATGGTTCACACTTGTTCAGATCAACTTCGGCTATGGCTCTACCAGTAAAGCTTCTATCAAGAACTTTCTTCAAGAGATAGTAAGTGATGAGCTCTTCATCAGTTGGATGGAAACGAAAGCCAGGAGGTAATTGAGTATCACCATTGTCTAAATAATGGTAACTATCCATATTGAAAACCAAAACCAAACCCTTAACAAAGCCAAAGTAAAAGCTTGAACCAAACTACTGAAAACCCTAAACTTCAAAACCAAAGTTGAACATCATGAAGTGAAGAGAGTGGTTATGACACAACAAAGAGCAAAAGAAAAAAGGGTTTTGAGTTTGGAAGAGGAACGAAGAGAAAAGGGTAGGGAGGGGGATGTTATATTGGCGTGTCAATGGGGGAAAAAGGCAAAAATAATAACATGGGTGATGATTTTTTTTTCCCTGCTCTGTCCTCTGCAGTAATCTTTCTCTTCTATTTTCCTATTTGCAATGAGTTATGATAAGGGTGAAAGAGAGGCTGATGTATAAGACTGAGCGGAGAGTGAGCTCTGGGTTTGTGTTTTGAGTATGCGTGCGTGCGTGAGAAAATGTGCACGTATTCTCTGTCAGTGAAGAAAATGAAGGGGAGGGAACAGAAAGTAGTTTTAATGGTGGAAAGCCCCTTTTTTGAAGAGAGAAATGGAGCGAAACGAAAAGGAAAGACATGGAGAGGAAAGGGAGAGGATGCGATTTTCACCATGGATCGATAAAGCTGCTTCATATCTCATTGTCAGCACAGTACAGTATTAAATTATCAACTTGACAGTTGACAGAGACATTATCATTACACGCCACCTTCTCTCCCCCCTCAATCCTCCTCTTTCCTCTTACATTTTTCTTTCATTAACAAAAACAAAAAACAAAAAAAATTTTTTAAAAAACGTATTTCTTTAATTAACCTTTAAGAAAGAGTAACAATTATAAACTGATTAATGGGTGTTTATAGATATTAATAAAAGTTAAAATAGATTGAAAAAACTATTATACTTCAGAAAATTCAAATTTTTTTATAACATATTATCTTAATTGAGGTATCTTTTGGATGATTAGATTAATTATTCAATCAAATTTTCTTAAAATTAATTAATTAAATTATATTTGTATTTTAAAATTTTATTTATTCATATGTAAAACATAAAATAAAATCAAAATCAACAAAATATTGTACACATAAAAATTTTAAAATAAAAACTCAAATTAATTTGAAATGATATAGACAAGTTTATATTTTTCTTATTTATATATAAGTTTTATTTATATCTTTGATTTAATTAAGACTTTTTGAATTAAATCAATCAAAAATTAAAATTTTTAAAAAATTATTTTTAATAATTAATTAAAATTAATTTAATAAGTAATTGATTAATTGAATTAAATTTATTTAATAAATTAATTCCATTAAAATTAAATTATAAACATTCCTAGATATAAACACACATTGGTTTTCAATTTTTTTTAAAAAAATACTAATAATTACAAGTGAGGATAATTTTTTTCTGGGTTTTACTTGTTGATTTGTGCTGGTTTTAGTGTGACCCTAGCCAGAAGTGAAAAAGCCATGGTTTGGGCAAGTATGTGATAATGTGAGGAGACTGAGGATTCACTATTTCCACAGTAAACTTTTGCTACTTTTTTCGCATTGATTAGTAAAAACATTGATAGTTATATATGAATTTTTTCTGCCATTGAGGGTACAACCCCAGTTTGACAAAAATGACAAAAAGATTTCCACAGGGAGCAAGCAAAAAGCAAGGTTGCAAAGGTTTGCTTTTTCTTTAAGGCATGTGCCCTTCTAGCTATGAAATGGTTTGGGACTATTTTTTTGAGAGGTTCTAAACCAATTTATTTTTTCTTTGTCACACTTTTTTTTTTTTTTAATTTTAACGTTTTCATATATGAATTTTTGGTAAATTTTACAATTTATTGGATTTTTATATCTAATAAATTAAAATTTTATATTTAAAAATTTAAAAAAATTAATTAAAAAATATTTTAAAGAATTTTCATAACTGTCGAAAAAAAAATAGTGAGTATTTAAAAGTAAAAAGGATATAAAGAGAAAAAAGAAATTTTTTTAAACAATTTCATTTAAAAACAATTTTTAAAAAATATATAAATAAATTAATTTAAGTTTTGATTTTTTTTTTTTTTGCTGTTGTTCTTATATATATACATAATGTGAATTTGCTTTAATTTTGCTAGCAATATTTGGCAGACAACTTCTACAGTTTCGTGCCTCTGCCTTTTCTCGCTTGATTGAACGCTGAGCAGTAGATTAGGTGACATTCTCAGCCAGCCAAAGATAAATAAATAAATAAATATATATATATATATAAAGGAAAAAAAAAGTAGAAAAATGTTTCTGAAATTTTCAGACTGAAGTGTGGACATCAATAAAGGACATGAAAAATGATTTAAACTTAGCTTTATTGCTGGAGAAATCATATCAAATTCACGCACTCGATGAGTAAAATAAATTATCAGATTTTTGTATTCCTCTTGCAATTTAAATATCAAGTATAAATTTGTAAATAAAATTTTTTTTACTCGTGATTTTTATCATCGTTTTGAAATTAAATTCAAATGAACCACAAGACTCCCTAATTTTTTACAATTAATGAGTGATTTTTCATTTTTCTCATATATTGAATTAAAATATTTTTTGATCGAATTGAATTTTGATTCAAATTAATTTTATTTATTGATTTTTAAAAATATAATAAAAATATTTTCACTTCTTAAATTAAAATGATAAAAAAATAAATATTACTATCTAAATTAATTTTCGATTTTTTTTCTTCTCAATCCCAATTAAATAAAACGGTGGAAGCAGCACTTATCTCGAACGGGTCCTGAAATCATGTAGCATTTTACTATGAGTTTTTTTTTTTTTGATAAAAAAAAATTAAGATAATTTTAATAAATAATTATTGATAAAATTTGAATTCAAAATTTTTTTATTAAAAAGAATCATCTTAATCGACCACTTATTGATACTATAAATTATTTATAACATAATTTATTCAGATTATAGTCTTTCTATAAAATCATTTGTTTTTTTTTTTATAAATTAAAATAATCAAAATTTCATGTTTCCAGTGCAAGACAATAGGATTCTGTAACTTATGAAATTTATTTCATGTTTTTTTGATTGATCCATTTTAACTGTTCATTCTGTTTTGTATATCAGATTGAAAATCTCATGAATTCATAATATTACAAAAAAAAATCCTCTTACAACTTAATGGTTACATGCAATAATCATTTATTTAATTAATCAGATTATTATTTTATAAAAAAAATTAAATTAGGCATGCGACAATTTCGTACGGAAAAACTCCTAAATAACGATGGAACTTAGTTTTTATGTATTATGCTTAATTTTCCAAAAATTAAGAATAATTTAGGGAAAAAACCCCAATTCTCGGCTCTCTTTGTCTTCATCGAAAACCCTATAATCAAACAAAAAAAATTACTGAAAGCAGACAATTCCTAAAAAAAAAGAACAGGGAATAAACAGAAATTAAAAAAATGCTGAGAGCAGTTGGTGAGGTAGACTTGCTGATTTTACAGCTACAAGACACTTCATATATACCGACAGGCTCCTTGCATCGGTCCCTTTTTTTTAATTTTTAATTTTTTTCTTGTTTCTTTTTTTTATTTTTTTTATTTTCATGAATTATCTTAATTTAACCCTTTAAATTATTAAATTTTATTTGTTTTTTATAAAAAATGCAACTTAAAAATAAAAATATTATAAATGTTGATATTTAAATTTTAAGTTTATTGAATGTGATATTTTAAATATAATTGCTAAATGTATGTTTTAAGTTTTAAATTTAAGCTTAGATGTAAAATTTTATTTAATTTATTCATTAATTTTTTAAAAATTATTAAAATGTGTATCTTTTTCATTAATGTATTTTATTAAAAAATTTGTTTTGAAAAAACTAAAAGAAAAGGTATTTGGCTTTTTGGTTTTAAATTTTTTTATTATTTTTTTAAAAGCAATTTGGTTTTTGTGGATTCGGGGGATTGGAATATCAAGTCATGAAATGATTAGAATTCCATGCATGCATCAATTCAAGCAATCACATCCATCCATCCATCCATCACCAATCAGAGGTTGATGCTATCAGAATTTGACGCGTCATGCTCGGATTTTGAGACAATCACAGGCTTTACATCAAATCATCTCATCAATCTGCATGCTTGGGTCTTTCTTTTTTGTCCTTTTTTAAAAAAAATTTTTCTTCTGTCTTTCTTTCATTTCACTTGCCCAATTCCGTGCCTTTCTCTTCTTCTAGTTGTCAAGGCTTCTCTCGCAGTTGTTACCCAAACAAGCCGAAAAATCCTCCCCATGATCTTTCTCCAATTTTGGCCGCCCACCTTCAAGTTTTCAGGTTTTCAACCCCTCTTTTCTTCTTCTAAATGCTAACCCCCCGGCCAACCCACTTTCCTTTCTTTATCCAGGATTGGCCCTACCCACAATCCGTACAAATATTCCCTTTCATTTCCTAAATTATAATTATTTATTAATTTTAATAAACAAACATAAATTTAATTTATTCACAAAATTTTAAATAAATATTTTATTCAATTATATTCTTAATTTTGCAAATTATTCATGATTGAATTAAATAGTTTGATTTTTTTTTATTTTAAGGGATGCTAATTTTATTTATATTTAATAAAAAATTTTAATTTTTTTTATCATAATAAGAATAGATATGAATATTTATTATTAAAATTGACATAAAAATAGTTATGATTTTAAATTTTTTATTGAATACAAAAATAAAGACAAATGATATACTATTCTTTTAGTATTTGTATTTTTATTATATATATAGTAAATATATTTTTATTAAATAATATAAATTATTATTTTAAATTAAACAAAATTAATATATTTTTATTTAAAATATATATTAATATATTTGTAAAAAATTACATAAATATATAAGATAAAATTTTTAAAAAGTTAAAAAAATATATTTTTATTTTTTAAAATTATAAATAAAAAATTTATCTATATCTATTAAATATTTACAAAAATAAAAATAAAAATAAATTTAAAATATTCATTAAATATAAATACAAAAATAAATATAATTTAAAATTTTAAAAATAAAAATAAAAAT